GGAATACAAAAACAGGGACAATAAAAACAACATACAAGAAACATTCTCTCCAAATTTACACAACACCAAATTTTTAAAATTTCAACATATTCCGGAAATAGCATACAAAATCAAAAATGTCTTTAAACCATATATGCAAAATAACAAATTCATTTTCTATAACAAAAACGTGGTACGCAAACTATACACAAAACTTAAAGATAAAGAGGACAAAATGACGCAATCACACTTAATATATAAAATAAATTGCCAAGAGTGTGAAGCGTGCTATGTAGGACAAACAAAACAATATCTTAAAAACAGACTAAATCAACATAAATATGATTGTAAAATACAAAACATTAATAAAACAGATAAAACAGCATTAGCGCAACATCATTTTAACCATGATCACACTTTTGATTTCAATGAAACACAAATAGTAGACAGGGAGAAAAATTGGTTTAAGAGGAATATAAGTGAAATGATACACATAGAATTAAACAAAAACAACATAAATTACAAAACAGATACAAATAATTTAAATTCATTTTACAAATCTGTTATTATGAAATTTCAAAAAATTAAAACAAGCGGTAACCCCAATAGAGCGAACAATAGATGAAAACAATAAACAGCTGATTTGTGATATTTTTTGTTTTTTTTTTTTTTTTTTATTATAGTTTAAGTTTTTGTAAGAGTCTAGTTTTTTGTCCCATTTACAATTTTGTGTTAATTTATTTTATTTATTTATTTATATATATGTTATTTATTAAAAATATTAATTGACGATTTTAAAAAAATTTTATTAAATTAGTTTATGGAAGCTATTGAGTTAATTAATTATGTTAAAATCAAATTAAAATTTGTTCAATAACTTAATGTAAGTATACATATAAGAAATGTATGACATATTGTAAAAGCATTATTATCATATAAATATTATTTTTAGCCCTGATGAAGATTTAAAATTAAATCGAAACGTTGGTGAAAAGTTAAAAGAACATTGTTTTATTTGTCCTACACCAGACTACACAAAAAAAATTTTAGATACTAAAAATAAAGGACGCTACAATTAGAACTTCAGTCTTGAAACTCCTGCATCTATCGGCACCATTTACGATTTCTGGGTTCTGAAGCATCCGCGCTTCGTAAACCTTACGTAACATTTTGTACTGTTGCGTCATGTCCGTAATATTTTTCTATGATTAAGATTTTAGGTTATAGTAAAATTATTAATTTTTAAAAACTTACAATATCCCAGCTTGAGACGAAGTTAGTGGTATACTTGCATTCCAACCAACTAAAAAAAATGTATTTTCAAAATTTCAATATCTACTAATCTACTATCTAATAATCTACTAAAGAAACTCTGACTTCTTAAGTTATAGGCAACACAATACGCGGTGTGCTAATGGCAATATAAATAACAATACATACACATGTAGAAAGTATTAAATTTTATTTGAGCGTACCACTGTACCTTTATGCTTCTGAAAACATCACATTTGGTGCAATAAAAACATCACTCAAACTTCTAAAAACATCAATCAAATGAGATCCCCAGAGCGAGGACGAGACAGGGCGAAAGTTGGCCCACAGGACTCAAAAAAGTTTATTGAGGATGTTTCCGGGGATGACCATGTTGGATTCCTGTCTGCAACGGTACAATTTCGACTACCGATACAGGGTTCTGTTTCCCGATTGATGCACGTGGAATCTGAGCGACCCCGTACTTAAGTTGGATTCAAGCGTGGAAAGGATATAAGGCTGATTTTGTGCGGCCACTGCCTTCTTCTTGCCTGCCTGATTGGGGCAGAATGCGACCTTCACTGGCCGAACGCGGAGAACACCATCATGGGAAGGTACTTCTTCCATCGCGCTCGGCAAAGTTAACCGCGAAGTCTTTGAGGATGGGTAGAAACTAGGTTCGATTTATTGCGAATTTTTTTACTGGACAATGCGCAGTAAGGTAACGCCTGCATAAGCGGGAGAAATCGGACTCTCTGGGGAAATTGGTGCAAATTTTATGTGTGCGATTATAAGACCTGCGACTGCTCGGTACTGGCTGTCCGACGCCGCGATTTTCTTGACAAAATTTCCTGAGCGTTCGGAAACTGCTGTCTGATTCATTCAGGCATATCTCATGTTTTATACTTGGAGAAGGGATTTTATAAGCGGGAGCGTGGAGAGGCTACAATGAGCCCCAATGGCCGCGGTGACCCGAAGGATATGTCCTCTTGCCCAATTCAGTTCTCTTGGAACCTACCAATCTGCCAATCCAAATGAATTTATGATTTCTTTAGCGAACTTTGCAAGTTGTAGCTCAAGAGGAGGCAATTTTATAGACGAATCGCTCAGACCAACTATCAACTAGAAGAAATTTCATTATGTGAAAGAATCATATTTTAAACTCATAATTGCTAAGCAAATTTGTAACCATGTAACGTTGAGAGAAGTAACATACTGAAAAATGATCCGGATACGACAGCTACACTGCTTGGACCTATAATTGAAGGGATTTGGCAGAAAGAAAAGATATCTAAAAAATTGAAGGGAATCCTAATAAAATTGTCAAAAAAGGATAACCTCCATGAATGCAGAAAATGGCGAGGTATAAAATTGTTAGACAGAATACATAAAATACTCACAATAGCAAAAATTATGCTAAAACTAGATCTTATTATGAGTGAGAAATTAGTAGGATTTTGCAGAAACAGAAGCTGCATAAATCACTTCAACACGCTTAGAATCATGAAAAAACAACCAAATGAATGGAATGGTCTCCTCTACTGCACTTTTCTCGACTTTGAAAGGGCATTGAATTAGATCAAGCAGGAGTCGACGATGTAATGCGGGGGTTTTATGCTACAGCAAGGGGCATTAGATGGAACCTGATTGGACTACGCTGATGATATCTGCCTCTTAGCACACACACGTGCAGACATGCAGAAAAAATTAAGTTGCTAGAAGAAGAAGCTGCCAAATTCAGCCTCAAGATCAACGTCAACAAGACGAAATACTTTAGAGTAGACACGAAAATAAATACGCATCTACAATTGAATAAGAAAAAAATTTGATGTGGTCAGCACATAACCGACCGCATTGTGCATTGTCTAGTTAAGTGAAAGTGTTACAGAATATTATAAAAATGCCTGTTAATTACCTCTTTCCAATTTTTAGGACATTAGTAAGCTTATAGTTAACATACCTAGAAAAATGTAAGTTTGGCTCTTAATAGAGTTTCACTTTGTGCCACCCGAATTCCCTGAAATGCTCGTCTCAAATAACAACCAGAACTCAAATATCAAATTTCAAGAAATTCTATCAATTAGTTCCGTAGATATGGTGAAAAATGTAAAATCGGCCTGCAGATCAGTTTTCGAACCCTGATCTTTCCAAAAAATTTATATGTTCATTCTTTTAATACGAGGAATTCATATATTAAATTTCAATGAAATCGGTTGATTATTTCTCTTTATATACGCAAAAATGTATATTTGGCCCGTAGTAAACGTCTAGTTGCTCACGCCTTATTTCTTCCAAAAGTTAGGAGGTTTTGGGGCCGGTCGAGCGAAGCTTATATATGAAATTTCAAGGAAATCGGTTGAATAGTTTCTTCAAAATGTTCAAAAACGTAAAACAGGCCCGCTAAAAAGTGCAGTTCCCGAGGCCTGATTTATCCCAAAAGTTGATCAATCCGTGCCATGGTGGAAATAAACTTACATATAAAATTTCATAAAAATCGGTTCAGTAGATTTTGAGATACACGCGTGCACACACAGACCGACAGACCGACAGACCGACAGACCGGCAGACCGACAGACGGACAGACCGACAGACCGACAGGTTGCTAAAAATAGTTTATTTACACTTCCCTACTATGGAGAAGTACGTTCCCACCGAAAACTCGATATGCAAAATTTGTTGCCATCACATAACCTACCTATTGTATACACAATACGGTCGGTAAAAATAGAAGATGTGCAGTGACAATTCAATTACTTGGACTGTATCGTAGCAAATTTTTAAGGTATAAAAGAGGATGTTGAACACAGGTTTCCTAAGGCAAAATCAACATTCAACAGAGTGTGGCATGTCTGGAATTGAGCCTGCTAGCCAGAAAAATAAAAATTAATATGGATGTGAAAAGTTTATAGAAGTCTAAGGAAATAAATAAGTGTCTGGTCTATTACAGAACAGAAACTACTAGACATAACAGCAAAAGAAAATAGAGATGGTTAGGTTACACTCTAAGGAAAGCTAACGACACAATATCGAAACAAGTTTTGGAGCAGAATAGACAAGGCAAAAGGAAAGAGGGTAGACCTCGCAACACATGGCGTAGAACAATTTTAAAAGAAGTTGAAACTAGCGGAGGAATATGGTCAAAAGTGAAGAAGCTAGCACAAAACAGAATAAACTTTAGAGCCCTATGTGGAAGCCCTATGCTCCCAACGAAAATGAAGAAAAGTTAAAAGACAAAATACAAAGTTGGGGTAATTTTTATATGAAAACACCAACATTAAATGTGTACTCTAAAGTTCCTTATAATGCTCAGTGCTCGAAGTGAGGCGGGATGGAGTGGGATGCCATCCCAGTACTTTTAAATAATTGGAAATCCATCCCACTACTTAATAGGAGAGAAAAATGCGTTCCGGATCATGTTTTTTAAAATTTAAGAAATTTTCGTTACTACATAGTAGTCTATGCATTTCTTTGGTAACAATTTGCACAGTTTTTGATTCAATGTTTAGTTGATTTAATTTTGAATATAAATATTCTCGTTAGTTTACTTCCAAAGTTTGGTAAATTTTGGTTAGTTATTTTTTTAAAAAAATTTTTTTTTATTTTTTTTTTACCATCCCACCACTTTGAGTATCCCACTTCGACCACTGATAATGCTTAAAAAAAATATTCTGTAATAAACATTAGATTCAGCTTAAACATTGACACATTATACCTATTATAGATTAACATAATAAAAAACATATAAATATAATTTGTGAATATATACGCACCTCATCTAGTGATACTCTAGGATACTTTTTTCTAGCTAAAACTAAGGGAACTTCTTCTGTCCTTCTCAGAAATTCTGGTGAATATCCAGCTAAAATATTAAAATTATACATCCACGAAGAAGAAGCTGCCTTAAATACGTTACACCTTTAATCGAAAAATAAATTAAGGTTATTTAAAAAATTTGATAAGTGCGTAAATTTAAAATAGAAAAATGATAAGCTTTTGTTTTTTAAGCTACAATGAGATCTAAAAGTTAAAATAAAAATAATTTTCCTCTATCTCTATAGTTTCTCAGTAAAACGTGGTAAATGTATTTAAATAAAGTTGGGTCAAACCAGTGGTTTGTATTGTAGCACTTTCCCTTCAACAAGTGAAAATACTGCTTTTTAATATAGTCTATATATACCTACCACACTATTAAAATTATTTTCATTCATTAACGAAACTATTTCTGGGATTGCATATATTTCGGAGTTACGATTTATGCAGTCTTTGAAATAAAGCAAAAATTAATATAAAGAAGGGTTAACACAATGCTCGATTTTAAGGGTTAATTACGTGAGTTAATTGCGTTGGCTTCTCGCGTTTATAGAAATTTGAAAAATCTTGAGGTTTCGGAAATATAGGGCGTCAAAAATTCAAATTTTATAAATTTCAATAGGCGATAACTTGAAAGGGGGTGGAGAAGAAAAAAAAAATTTCTTCTAACAAAATAAACTATGTGTCTAACGAAAGAAACTATAAAATAGTGTCTAACAGCTGCTAAAATTTCAAGCTCCTACAACCGGGGGTCTAGAAGAAAAACGACATCAAAAATTTGAAAAACGGATTTTAGATAACGATAAATTTGATTGGCCATTTTGTTTTTTTAAAGTTTAATTATAGTATAGCAGACCACTGCCTTTCTGTGTTTGCAAAATTTGAAAAATGCTTATGGTTTCACTGCAATAAATAGTTAAAAAATTACATTTTTAAGGTTTTGGAGGGTATCACTTCTAGAGGAAGAGAGATAGGTAAAAAATTTCTTCTGCGGAAATAAGTTTCTAGTAAAGATATATTAAATTTCAGCTTTCTATGTTCAAGGCTGTAGAAGTTTTGTAAACAGACATATGGATGGACGAACAGAGTGAAACTAATAAGCACTTGTTTCAAAAATTTTTTGGACGAAACATGGAATTACATGAAATGTAAATTTCACACATTTCATAAAAACATAACACATTTAGTTTAGTATATATAATATGGGATTTGTATTATTTAATCACTGCTGGTTATTAAAGATCAAAAATGAGAGTAATTCCTTATAGAATAATTTATCTTTTATTTTATATTTTATTCTAGTTAATTTTACCTTCTATTTTTTAATTTTATGCAGAAAAACAGTAATTTTATTTTCACTTTGATTTATTTTTCATCAACACTTTTCAACGCGACAAAATTTCTATGTATGTACCGTATGTATATTGATTTTTTTTTCTTTTTAGTTAAAATTTATATCAAATAAACATCTAAAAAGAAAAATTCTGACTTTGTCCGACTTTGATTTTTGTAAAAATTTTTCTAGACATTTGTGATTTCACAAAAGTTAAATTTTTGCTAAAGAAATGTACTTAAGATCAAATGCAACATCAGAAGACCGAGAGATATCGGAAATTTCAAAACTAGTAAAAGAATATACTGGAAAATTCGATAAAAATACTCCAAATAAGACAAGAAATAAGTTACCAAAAATAGAATAAAAGGAAGATGTGGAAGAATTAGAAACAATCGCACTTTTTGTTTTCACGAAATCGACCTTATAAAAAAATGTAAAATATATTTTTTTTTCCTTTTATTTTTATGTTTTATTTATACCGAACCTTACAATTCAATTAATACAATATTGTAATTTTCAATTCAATTAATTTCTGTATTAACAATATTTTTATGTATTTATTCCTTAAGCGCAAGGACTGATTTTTCGAACTGAACTATAATTTTATTTTTAGTTCTATTTATAAATTCTTAATACTAATGGTTTATATTTACCTTAGAATCTATTTTTCATTGTTATATAACTTACATTCTAAAATATCTTTAGTCTTAAATATGTACTAATATTATTGTTTCGACTTGACAAACCTTATTATGTTGTGCTTGTAAATTTATGTAAAGATAGCCTTTTTATACCCTGCACTTCGTGAAGGGTTTATTAACTTTGGTATGGAGTTTGTAACTATTTGAAGGAGTCATCTGCGGTATGGACATATATATATATATATTCTTGCTCAGCGTCAAATTCTGCGTCGATTTAGACATGTCCGTCCGTCCGTCCGTATGAATATTTTCTAAAAATTGACAATGCATATACATATATGTACACTTTACATAGAGTGACAAGATTTCTCTGGCTGACAATTTACCGTAACCATATGAAAAGTAAGTAGCTGCATTGAATGAGAAATCAAATTAGAGGTTTTTTCGTCCCTCAACTTCCGCTAATTGTTGCTGAAAGTGCTCATAAACTCGCTCGCTAAACCGCTAGTAATGGTGATTTAATAACTCATCCTTCAAATACTTTAAAGGATTCAAAAACTTTAGATAATATTACAATTTACTATTAAAATGTTCGGGATCATAGAACTAAAAGTAGTACTATTCTATTTAATTCCTCCGTTATAGAATATGAAACCTTCGCTCTGACAGAAACATCAATTCCTCTATCAATAATTTGGAGTGTTATTAATTTTTCTAACTGTGACAATTTAGAGCTGATCGCGTTTTTGGACACTTTAATCTTCCTAAACCTTTGGAGACTTTAATCATTTTTGGTTCCAAACTGTGTGAATTTGAACTTTTTTTCACAAACTCCTTTCATTTAAATTACCTACAGCAGATTTTGTAAATCTTAAATCGCCAGCGTAAGCAACTGGATTTGGTCTTTTTATATGGTTGCTAAGCTTCACAGTTCTGGTCACCTCACTACAACATTCATTTTAATAGGATTAGGTCGATTCAAAAAAATACTGGAAGAATACTGTTGTTCTCCCACCATATGAAAATTGGATTAAACTTATTAACTTATGGAAGTTAAGTAACTTCTTAATAGAATTCGACATTTTTAACAGAATCTTCGTGAAACTAATGTAAGGTCTCGTTCTCCTGATCCTGTTTTTGTTTCTTTTCGTAGAACTAATTATTGAAAATTTGAGCCAGTCTATAGAATGCTAAATCTGTGTAACAAATTTAAGAACACACTCGATTTTACAGTATCAAAGGATACGATCAAAAAGCTTGAATGTTTAATAAAATTATAGATTTATAGTAATTTTTAATTTATTTGTGATATTTAATTTGTTAATTGTTATACTCGTAAGTTAAATTTCTTTTCTAAATTACAATTATGTTTTCTAAATTTGCTTTCAATAATATACACATGTTAAAATTTGAAATAAAAAATAACAAAAAAAAATTAATATTTAAAGTTAAAATTGTTAAAATTTTTGAACTTAGTTGTTTCCTGAATTTTTTTAATTCTAGTAATGTATGTTTAAGTTAATAATATATATTTGTCGCACAAAAAGATAAAAGATATATACGCATAAGTACAGGATACGTTTCAGTAATCGCTCTCATTTGCTTTCACAAATAATCGAATTTCGAAATTTAAGACCTACATTGTCGTAAATATAGATTAGTTCGGAACTAGGGAGGGGGCAATAGTTTATATAAGCAATTTTCTAGACTAGGGCACTGCTTGAGAATCTGTGAACTATTTCATCGGATGTCCGTAGTGGTTGGCAGTACGGTTGAAGTGGCAAGCGTTAGCAAAATCGCCCTACCAAACCATTTCATTCTTATGCATTATTTCATATGTTGATATGTTGAAAGTTCAATTTATAATTAAACCTAAAGAGAATAATTAAGAAAGTACCAAAACTATTAAAAAAATAAAAAATAAAATTAATGCAACTAAGCTATCTTCAAAGGTAAGCAGAATTTATGAATTATCTAATAAAGCAATATCTTTTAGCTATGAAAACAAAGTTTCAGTAAAAAAAATTGAAACAGCTATTTTATGTTATTCAGTCTCCTTATCTAAATAATCCTAAAATTTTACCTGTTGGTATAAATGTATAAAGTTGGATCAAACCAATGGTTTGTATTGTAGCACTTTTCCCTTCAACAAGTGAAAATACTGCTTTTAAGTAGAGTCTATATATACCTACCACACTATTAAAATTATTTTCATTCATATACGAAACTATTTCTAGGATTACATACATTTATTTATAATAAAACACAAATTAATTTAAAGAGGGGTTAACATAATGCTCGATTTTAAGGATTAATTGCATGAGTTAAGAAAAATACTTATATTTTTGAATGTCATCGAATTTACCGTTACCTTTTTGCGTTTATAGAAATTTGAAAAAGCTTAAGATTTCGGAAATACAAGGCGTCAAAAATTCAAATTTTACGAATTTCAAGAGGCGATAACTTGAGGGGGGGTGGAGATGGAAAAAATTTTATTTCTAACGAAATAAACTATTTATTAGTGTTTAAAAGCTGCTATAATTTCAGGCTCTTACAACCTCGGGTCTAGAACAAAAACAACATCAAAAATTTGGAAAAAACAATAGGAGAAGCAAGCCACTGCCTTCCTGCGTTTGCAAAATTTCAAAAATATTTATAGCTTCACTGCAATAAATAGTTAAATAAAGTTGAGTCAAACCAATGGTTTGTATTGTAGCACTTTTCCCTTCAACAAGTGAAAATTCTGCTTTTAAATACAGTCCATGTATACCTATCAAACTATTAAAATTATTTTCATTCATATACAAAACTATTTCTAGAATTGCATATATTTAGGATGACGCATATATGCAGTGTTTGAGATAAAGCAAAAATTAATGTAAAAAGGGGTTAACATAATGCTCGATTTTAAGGGTTAATTGTGTGAGTTAAGAAAAATAATTATATTTTTTAATTTCATGGAATTTACCGTTAGCTTTTTGCGTTTATAAAAATTTGGAAAAGTTTGCGGTTTCGGAAATATAAGGTGTCAAAAATTCAAATTTTACGAATTTCAAGAGGTGATAAATTGAGAGGGGGTGGAGATGGAAAAAAATTTTCTTCTAACGAAATAAACTATTTGTTAATGTCTAAAAGCTCCTAATTTCAAGCTTCTACAGGCTGGGGTCTAGAAGAAAAATGACATCAAAAATTTGGAAAAAAAGGAGTTTAGATAACGGTAAATTTGAACGGCCATTTTGTTTTTCCAAAGTTTAACTATAGTATATCGCGCTAGGGGAAGCAAGCCACTGCCTTTCTGCGTTTGCAAAATTTCAAAAATGCTTATGGTTTCATTGCAACAAATATTTAAAAAAGGAAATTTTTAGGGTTTTGGAGGGGTATAACTTCTAGAGGGGGGGAGATAGGTTAAAATTTTGTTCTACGGAAATAAGTTTCTAATGAAGATCTATGTACGTATGAAATTTCAGCTTTCTATCTTAAAGGGTGTAGAAGTTTTGTAAACAAAAAAAGTGTCCACGGACGGACGGACGGACAGAGTGAAACTAATAAGCACTTTTTTCAAAAAAATTTTTGGAAAAGTGCTAAAAATGGCATTTCTAGGTTCAAAAAATTTTTTTTTTTTTCAATGGTTGATAATTTTTCCGAAATATAATTTTTTTTTTATTGGTGTGAAAAGAAAACTTCCTTTTATTCGGAATAAAATACTTTTATTTTTCGCTAATATATTTCGTGCGCTACATACGCACTTTATCAAAGCTGATTTTCTTCTAATTAAGACAACAAACAATAAAAATTGAAATCTATTAAAATTAGGAATATTATACCTGACTTAATATAATCTACCTGACTTAATCTAGAATTTGATTATTTTTTTTTTTTTTTTTTTTTTGTTATTATTTACAAACTAAATTTATACCTAGTAGGCAGTCCTTCTAAACGCGGACGAAGGTAACGCGGCTACTTGGCTCTTTAAATTAATTATTTGACCAGTTTTAAGGTTTAAAAACAGGTATAAATTTAGTTTGTAAATAATAACAAAAAAAAAAAAAAAAAAAAAAAAAAAAAAAAAAAAAAAAAAATAATCAAATTCTAGATTAAGTCAGGTAGATTATATTAAGTCAGGTATAATATTCCTAATTTTAATAGATTTCAATTTTTATTGTTTGTTGTCTTAATTAGAAGAAAATCAGCTTTGATAAAGTGCGTATGTAGCGCACGAAATATATTAGCGAAAAAATAAAAGTATTTTATTCCGAATAAAAGGAAGTTTTCTTTTCACACCAATAAAAAAAAAAAAAAGGCATTTCTAGGGTTACAACTTTTTGAGCGGAGGAGATAAGTAGTCATTTTCCTCTACGGAAATAAGTTCTTGGTAAAAATCTATGTACATATTAAAATTCAGCTTTCTATCTTCAAAGCTGTACAAGTTTTGTAAATAGACACACGGATGGACGGACGAACGAACAGAGTAAAACTAATAAGCACTTTTTCTCAAAATTTTTTTGGAAAAATTAAATAGTAGTTAAGTAGAAAACGCTATTGAGGCTCAAAATGATTTTGATATAAGGACTTTAAAGTGTCATAAATTTTATGAGTCAAAAAAGCGAAAAAATAAATTTGAAGCATTGGAAAAAATTTTGAGAATGGTACAATTAATATTAAATTTGATTGTTGCAATATTTTTCAAATAATAAGTGTATTAAGATGTTATAAGTGTTTTAATAACTTATAATATCTATAAACATAAAGGTGATAACTGCATCTCAGGTTTATGCTGTTGTAAGTGTAAAGATAGGTACATTTAGTAAAAGGATGTATGAATGATTGATTTTTAGTGTGCAATTGAAACGGTTGATCGTAATATATTGATGCAAAAATTAAAATTTTACGGTGTTAGTAATATTGAATTGTTCTGATTTGGCTCATATTTGGCAAATTTATATTAATTATTTGGATTTTTGTTAATGGCATGGTACCTAATTGTTAGGTTGTTGAGCTTTATTTGCGGATAATATTTTAATTTATACTGCGTATATGCAGTAGTTTCATTTAGTGTGATAATTCTAATGTTGCAATTAAAACCGATGATGCATCAATTGACATTGTTAGTGAAATAAAAAATGTACGTGTAGTTATAGAATACTTTGAATACTGCTTTTCAATTCCTTTCACTACAAATCCAAAATGATGAGCAGATTACGAAGGAGGTATAGATATTAGGTATAGAGGGATTACAAAATAGAGGTATGAGAATTATTCTAAATTCAATAGATATATCTCTAAGTTTTTTATGCTAAGCACTTTGAAGTGAATGAGTGTAACTCAAAAAATCAAAATAAATGTCTTATTGATTGTGTTGATATAATGTTGTAAATAGTCATAATTATTTTTTATATAAAATCCAGAATATGATAATGCACAGTGGACTAAAATTATTCAATGAATTTGAAAAAAATTTTAGAATGTTTAAAAAAACTTTAAAAGAATATATTATAGAAACTTTTTCGTGATAACTTGAATTTATCTTAAACTTTTTATAAGATATTTTTCATATACAGAAGCAAATTCATATTTGTTATTGAATTTTTAATTACTTACATATGTATTTTAATAAATAGTAAAAATTACTAAATAAAAAAAATTAATACTTAAATATCCGTATTGCATGTATTATATGCATATAATATATAATTGCATGTATATATGCATGCAATAAACTTTTATATGAATATTTTTGAATAAGAAAAGCGTAAAATATAAATGAATATTTGAAAGAGAAGGTTTTTCCATTTCCAATACCTGCGTCTGAAAATCATTTATAATACTTACCAAACAAGATGATGTTTCAAATTTACTAAAAACTCCCATGGATTAGGTTTATGCAATGCATCAGTTCCTGAAATTTAAACACAATCAATTTGTTTTGAACATTCAGTTTGGAATTTCATGTGTAAAAATAAAAATTAAGTATTATAAAATGGCGAATGATATTTTATTAAAACTAAAAGTAAATAGAAATTTCAATCTGATGCAAGGTAAAATATTAGTCTAAGCATTATTTTAATTTTTAATATTATCCTAAAACCTTCACCCTTGCAAATGTGTGTTACCCTATTATGGCCGTACTGATTTAGAGTTTTGCCGTCAAATTTATTGCAAATGTAAAGAAGATCGTCAATCGTCAATTTGTACTGACTTGCTTAACTAGAGATTGTCCAATGAAATATTATCTAAACAAAAAGAAGCAACTCGCTTTTGTGTAAGTTGTGTCCAAACGATGGAGAAATTATTATATATGTATCTTGTGTGATTGTTCTGTTTTGGACTCAGTCGGCACAAATGGTTTGAATGGGTTTGAATTGGTCACTGAAAGTCGAATTTCAATTTAAAACAAATGTCTAAAAGTGAAACGTTAAATTCAAATATGAATTTTTTGTACAATATGCCGGGAACATACATATTATATAATAGAAACGAATATTATACATATATAGAAATGCTTCATGCAAAAGAAAAGATAAATGTATTGAAACGTCTATGCATTGAGGGTTAGTGAAAACTTATTTTGGAAAATACTAATTTCCCCGCAACACATATTGTTCAATCGTGGTGAAGTCGGAATACTAATTAATCCATTTATAAATATTTGCTGCTTGCCGACAAACTATAAATACATTTCTTTGTCAACTGCATGATTTAACCTTTATGAAAAATAGTAAATTAAGTGGACTTCTTAGCTAAAAGTCTACTTGGGTAGTGGATTTTACTCTTCGAAAATACTCCGTTTTTAATCAAAAAAACTCCTAGTAAATCAAGTCACAGTCCATAGGAGAACCTTAAAAATTTTGCTCATAGTGTTGCATCTCGGTATACAATATACTGAAGTTCTGCTTAGTAGACGTAATTTTAATCATGGTAAGTTGAACTTCCTCTGCATCTTTTTTTGATAATTTATTACATTTTACGGTGCCTTCATCTAAAGTAGCAAATTTTGGTATGGAGATTGTAACAACTTGAAGGAGTCGTCTCCGGTATGGACATATACATATATTCTTGCTCAGCGTCAAATTCTGCGTCGATTTAGACATTTCCGTCCGTCCGTCCGATCACACGATAACTCAAAAACGAATAATGCAATCGACACCAAGCTTTCACAAATTTTTTCTTTTGTGCCAAGAACGAACCCTATTGTAAATGAACTAATTCGGACAACGGGTTCGGGTAGCTGCCATACAACTCAAAGAGTTTATTTTAAATATTTCAAAAACTAATAAAGCTATCAATATAAAATTTTGTACACATGTGTCCAATTATATTCTACATATTCTCTAAAAACTTTAATGGGATAGCTGCACCGGTTCGGACGGCTCCCATACAATTCCAAAAGCAAATTTTTTATATTCGGCAAAATAATAAGCTAATTTTAAATATTTGGAAAAATAATAAAGACAGATTCATGAAACTTGGTATTTGTGTGTCGAGTTATAGGTCAGATATATTTCTGAAGTTTTGGCTGAATTGCTTGACAGGTTCGAGTAGCTCCCATACAAGTCTAACAGTTTATTTTAAATATTAAGAAAAATAATAAAGTCAGATTCATAAAACTTAACAGTCGCGTGTCCAATTATAGTTCAGACATTTCTGAAGTTTCTATAGAATGGTTTCACAGGTTCGAGTAATTGCTATACAACAACGAAAAGTGCAGGCTATAACTCAATCGGTTTATACCGACTGAAACGTTTTTTCTTGTTTTGTAATACTTTGGGTACGAAAGACCTCAGCAAGTAGTGCGTTATTTCAGTTTACATATTTGGCTTGAAAACTGTCTTTTTATGATCTCATAATTAACACCACAGTTTAGACATTCTTATGATCTTATTTACTTTTGCTAATTATGCGTAGTTGGTTATGTCACTCCCTCCTACTGGCGAGAGATTATATTTTTTAATTTCAATTTTTTGGTTTTAGTGAAGATCTATTTTTGCCGACCGTATTGTGAAACAATAGGTAGGTTGTGTGATGACAACAAATTTTGCATATCGAGTTTTCGGTGGGAAAGCACCTGTCCATAGTAGGGAAGTGTAAATAAACTATTTTTAGCAACCTGTCGATCTGTGTGTGCGCGCGTGTATCTCAAGTTCTGCTGAACCGATTTTGATGAAATTTTATATGTAAGTTTATTTCCCCCATGGCCTCGGTATATGATATATCAGGCCTCGGGAACTGCACTTTTTTACATCGGGCCTGTTTTACATTTTTGAACATTTTGAAGAAAATATTTAACTGATTTACAAAGAATCTTTTGCGTACACAAAGAGATATAACCAACCAAAGAGATATTTCATTGAAATTTAATATTTAAATTTTTCGTAATAAAACAATAAACATATAAATTTTTTGGAAAGATCAGGGCTCGAAAACTGATCTGCGGGCCGATTTTACATTTTTCACCATATCTACGGAATCAATCGATGGAATTTCTCGAAATTTGATATTTAAGTTCTGGTTATTACCGAAACGAACTGGCGAGCATTTCAGTGAATTCGGGTACCACAAAGCGAAACTCTACTAAGAGCCAAATTTGCATTTTTCTAGGTATGTTAACCATAAGCTTCCTAATGGCCTAAAAATTGGAAAAAAGTATTTAATAGACATTTTTATAATATTCTGTAAAACTTTCACTTAACTAGACAAAACACATTGCGGTCATTTATGTGCTGACCACATCAGATTTTTTTTAATGTTATCCAGTTCTATTTTTGTGGCGGTTCCATTTTTGGTGAACTTTTGATTTTTCTCTTTTCTGAGTTGTTTTTGAGTTTTAGAATATAATCAGTTTCTCTAGTTCTTAACTGTTCCTACACTACGATATCAACTTTGTTATTCAGGGGGCCATTCGAAGTTATATTACTTCGAACAAAAATTTTTAGTATACCTTATATTTTTGCCTTATTTTTGCAGTTCTTACTTTTTAGCTATTGATACAAGGTCTTTTATTAATAAATCGACTTATTAATAAAAGAAAATACCAACTGAGCTACAGAGGCATGAAGAAATTGCCGACGAAATGTTCTCTACATTGCTTATACTATTGTTGGTAGAGCGTCCGCCTAGAAAGCCGTAGGTCACTGGCTCGAGTCCAGTTCGAGGAGAAAAATTTTTTAATTAATTTTTCTGCCTTTAACTCGTTCCTTTGATTACGTCATCCATCTGTTCTGCAGTTGCATGAAGAAATTTCCATTAAGTTAAATTATTAGTGTAATAATCACATTCGTATTAATTTCGCAACTATGATGTAGTATTAGTAAAATTCATAATTTAATTAGTACAATAGGCACAATCCTATAAATATATATGTTCTTGTAATTGTGTGTTTCAATAGTAAATTGTATGTAGCAATCAATGTGAACAAAACAAATACTTAGTAATCATGTGAATTATAGTATAAGCAATGTAGAGAATCTTCATGCCTCTGTAGCTCAGTTGGTAGAGCGTCCGCCTAGAAAGCGGTAGGTCACTAGTTCGAGTCCAGTTCGAGGAGAAAAATTTTTTAATTAATTTTTCTGCCTTTAACTCGTTCCTTTGATTACGTCATCCATCTGTTCTGCAGTTGCGAAAAAATTTCCATTAAGTTAAATTATTAGTGTAATAAGCACATTCTTATTAATTTTGCAACTATGGTGTTGTATTAGTAAAATTCATAATATAAAAATGTCTGTTAAATACTTCTTTCCATACCTAGAAAAATGTAAATTTGGCTTTTAGTAGAGTTTCGTTTTGTGCTATCCGAATTCACTGAAATGCTCGCCAGTTAGTTTCGGTAACAACCAGAACTTAAATATCAAAGTTCGAGAAATTCCATCAATTCGTTCCATAGATATGGTGAAAAATGTAAAATCGGCCCGCAAATCAGTTTTCGAGCACTGATCTTTCCAAAAAATTTGTATGTTCATTGTTTTAATACGAGGAATTTAAATATTAAATTTCAATGAAATCGGTTGATTATTTCTCTTTATATACGCAAAAATGTATATTTGGCCAGTAGTAAACGCCCAGTTGCTGATGCCTGATTTCTTCCAAAAGTTAGGAATTATTGCCGACGGTCGAGCAAAGCTTATACATATATGAAATTTCAAGAAAATCGGTTGGATATTTTTTTCAAAATGTCCAAAAATGTAAAACAGGCCCGCTAAAAAGTTCAGTTCCTGAGGCCTGATATATCCAAAAAGATTGATGAATCCGTGCCATGGTGGAAAAAAACTTACATATAAAATTTCATCAAAATCGGTTCAACAGAACTTGAGATACACGCGTGCACCCACAGACCGACAGGTTGCTAAAAATAGTTAACTTACACTTCCCTACTATGGAGAATTGTATTCCCACCGAAAACTCGATATGCAAAATTTGTTGCCATCACATAACCTACCTATTGTATACAGAATACGGTCGGTAAAAACAACGTCAACAAGATTCAGGTGAAGTTGACACAAGGGAATTTAACAGTTGACAGTAACAACAACTCACCAATTTTATTCAGTCCATGCTCTTTGCACTTTTCTTTTAAATGATCTTTGCGAATTTTCATCCGTGCTTCTACCATATCCTTTTCGTTATGAGATAAAGTTCGTATAGCATCATCAGGCAAAGTTTGCAATTTTGTATCATTTTCATACTGTAAATAAAAGGAATTAATGTTTAATTAACTAAATATTTAATATTTCCCGATATTTAAATATACATGCATGTTATATTGTTACATGTTAAATGCTTTTAATTATATTAATAAAGTTTTAAATTTGAATAAATTTAGGATAGTTTTTACGTTTTATCGGATTTATGGAATTAAATGTAACTTTTTACAAATTATATAAATGCTACTAAAACAATATAAAAGCCAAGGCAACAATTGTAAATCAATTATAAAACAAAAAGACTTTTAAAATGCAACATTATGTTAAAGGTGTTAGCAATATTTCAGTTGTACAAGGTTACATTTAATATTTAATAGACACTTTAATGTCTTTAACTAAATTTGTAAGAAATAAAGTTGGGTCAAACCAAAGGTTTGTATTGTAGCACTTTTCCCTTCAACAATTCGTGAAAATACTGCTTTTAAACACAGTCTAGTATACCTATCACACTATTAAAATTATTTTCATTCATATACAAAACTATTTCTAGCATTGCATATATTTAGGATGATGCATATATGCAGTCTTTGAAATAAAGCAAAAATTAATATAAAGTGGGGTTAACATAAAGCTCATTTTTAGGGGTTAATTGCGTGAGTTAAGAAAAATAATTATCTTTTTTAATGTCATGGAATGCCGTTAGCTTTTTGCCCTTATAGAAATTTGTAAAAGCTTGCGGTTTCGGAAATATAGGTGTCAAAAATTCAAATTTTACAAATTTCAATTTGTAAAAAATTTTACAAATTTTTACCTTCATAGGGGGGCCCAAAACCGCACTGTCACCTCCTAGTGGTGGGCCCCGGTAATGGCGGAGGATAAAGGGGTGATTGAAACGATCAAAGTTACGTTCGTGTCGTGGTCATGTCTCGCGGCGAGCCTCTTGCTTTGTGAGTTTCAGCCCTATATCTATACGTCAGCTGACGACAGGCGTCCCAAGTCAAGGTGGAACAGCATATGCCGATGACTGCGTGGCTAAGGGGGAGCTTAGTCGTTAGTATGCGGACTCTGGATACCAGGCGCCCTCCAGTTTAAATGAGCCTTCCCATGGTATGCCGGGCTCTGCCATGGGTGACTTTACTTTCCCGCGCTACTCGTGGGACCAGAAATGCAAAATAACAGCAACAACAACAAGACAAATAACAACAGTGACAACAACGACACTAAGGACAACATACAACCACGTAATGCTCAAGGGTCTTCGGAACCAGAGCTTCTCTTGACTGACGCAGAGGAGGAACTCCTTCTCACGCCAGTGGAGGGAAAGGCGGCGCCTCCGATGGAGACGGATAATCAGGATCCTCTTGGACCTATTATCCAAAAAACTGAGGAGGACCTGAAAAGGTTGGACATCAGGGGAAAAAAACAATATTTCTCTGGTGCATCCAAGCGGCGTATCGCGGCTTATATAAGGGATGGCATGTCCCCAGAGGAAGCTCGCAGATATGAGAAGGAAAGGCTGGAAAAGCTGAAGGCCTGCGGATCGGTTGTTGTGGCCGACCATCCCCAAAAGAGGGAAAGGTCGGAAAGCAACACCCCTGATGCAGGGCCCTCAAAGAAGAGGTCGATGAAGGGCAATGTTGAGTAAAAGGTCCCTGGGAACATTCCTCAACAAAACCCGAAAATGACTTCTTATCGGGATGCAGTAGCGCAGGTCAAGGTGGCCATCACTCATAGACTGCATCCAGAGGAAAGGCTATCCGAAGTCCAGATGGGGAAAATCAAAGTAGCCATCATGGATGAAATGGATAGGGTTGTGGACTCTCATCCACAATTCACTGCAGCGTTGCAAAGGGACGGATGGATATCCGTAACATGCAACAATCAAAACACCAGGGAGTGGATAACCAGCGTCTGCAGGAAGATAAAGCCTTGGGACGGTTGCGATGTCGTGGTACTGGATGGCGACAACATGCCCAAACAGCATGTCTGCGTCACCTACGTACCAAAGGACGAGACAACCGTCAGTCTCTCCAGGGACAAATTTCTAAGTAGGATAGGGAAACAAAATCCCAGTTTCAAGATAAGTTCCTGGAGGGTGCTGAGGATGGATAAGGAAAAGGACGGGGGCTGCTCCATCACTTTTTCCGTGGATGATTCCGGATTGGAAGATCTACGGAAAGCGGAGTTCCGACTTTTCCTGAATTTCTTCCGTGTTACCGTTCGGGTTAAAGGAAGAAAATCCTCTCAAGGTGCTGGTGGCAGGGCAGGACAAAATAAAAAACCAGTGCCCACCGCGACAACGACGAGCACTTCAGGCCAACCAAAAGAGCCAAAACTCATTGGAAAGTCTGAAGTCGCTCCGATAATGGCGGCAAGGGAAACGGAAGAACCATCGACCAGCACGCCAAATACAAGCGTCCCGGGGAACCAAAAGGGCTCAAGCCCATTGGGAAGCCCGGAACTGCTTCGGTATTTGCTGTTGGAGGGGCTAGCGTAGCACCTGGGGCGGCAAAAGAGGCTGTGGCAGGGCAGGCGCCCACCAAGATGTGTAAAAAGGCGACAATGGGAGGTAAGGCTCATGTAAAGCCTTTGTCTAAAGGGCCAAAGCCCATAGACAAGAGCCGGAGGAAATAATATGGCTGTGAGGTGCATCCAAATAAATCTACAGCATGCTAGGGCATCTACTGATGTTCTGGCTCATAGATTTATGAAGGATCACCTCGATATCGCCCTTATCCAAGAGCCTTACATAGTGAAGGATCAGGTTAAGGGCCTAACAGGTGAGCTATTGTATGATAATACAACTGGGGGCAGGCCTAGGGCTTGCATCTTGTTTAGTAAAAAGCTAACGTATTTTCCCATTCCAGATTACTGTTCTAAGGATCAGGTAGCTGCGTTGGTGAAGATGAAGTCCTGCGGGGGCTGGACAGAGTTCATTGTGTGCTCATCCTACCTCCCGGGGGACTGTGCCCACCCGGACGAGCAACTGAAGGATCTAGTGGACTTTTGTGGAAGGAGGAACTTCCAACTTATAATAGGAAGTGATGCCAATGCCCACCACACCGTCTGGGGAAGCAGCAATATAAACAAAAGAGGTGAGTGCCTACTTGAATTTATATATAGCAATAAATTAATGATTATGAATGAAGGCAATAGGCCGACATTCATAAATGCAATTAGGGAAGAGGTCCTTGACATCTTATGGATGGGATTAGATCCGTTCCTGCTTCTGTCAGAACGGTGATGGATATCGAACTGGCCAGCGAGGCCCTGACGGCGGCTATTACTAATGCCTATCACGGGAGCTGCCGTGCTAAGCCGAGGCGGAGCAATAGGAAGTGCCCGTGGTGGAATGAGGAGCTTTCAAGGCTTAGACTAAAGACCAGAAAGCTATTCAATAAGGCCAAGGCGTCAGGTTCGTGGGAAGAGTATAAGGACTCACTCACAAAATACAATAAAGAAATTAGGAAAGCGAAGAGAATCTCGTGGAGGGCGTTCTGCAAGGGCATTGATGAACTCCCCAGCAGTGCGCGTCTTCACAGGGTGCTTTCCAAAAAGTATGCTAGCAGGTTGGGCCTAATGGAACGTCCTGATGGCTCCATGACTGAGAACGGAAGGCAGACGTTGGAGCTTATGGCGTCAACGCACTTTCCTGACTCGGAGATTCTTCGGAATCACTCAAATGCAGTCATCGAACCGGGGGCACCCTGGCCCAGGAGGGATGACTGGCAACGATCCCGTCTAGTCTTCACGATGGGCAGGATTAGATGGGCTGTTTTCTCTTTCAGGCCCTTCAAATCTCCAGGTGATGACGGGATATATCCTGCATTTTTGCAGAGGGGTTTCCAACATATCGCTAGAGCACTGTTGGGAATTTTTCGCGCCAGCTATGCGTGGGGTTACATCCCTCAGGCATGGAGGGTGGCTAAAGTGACGTATATTCCGAAGGTGGGTAAGCGACCAAGCAACCACCCAAGGTCTTTCCGTCCAATCAGCCTTACTTCTTTTCTATTGAAAGCAATGGAAAAGGTGATTGATAGATTTATACGGGACGGTGCACTGGGAAGCAATCCCTTGCATGAATCTCAATACGCCTATCAGTCGGGAAGGTCTACTGTACTCGCTCTGCAGGGTCTGGTGGGGGTCCTTGAAAACTCACTGGAAGTGCGGGAGGTAGCAGTTGGCTGCTTCCTTGATATAGAGGGAGCTTTTGACAACATCCCATATCATGTCATCTGTGAGTCGTTGCACAAACGAGGGATTGATGCGACGACTAGCAGATGGGTCAATCGGATGCTACAGGATAGGATTATTAAGTCCACCATAGCTGACGATATACTCTTCATCTCCGCTGCAAAAGGATGTCCGCAGGGCGGGGTTCTTTCGCCCCTCCTGTGGTCCATTGTAGTGGATGATCTAATAGCTGCTCTCAGGGGCTCCGGGGCGCGTGTCTGGGGATACGCTGACGATGTGGCATTCGTCGTACGGGGAAAATTTGAGAGCACTATTTCAGATCTTCCACAGCAAAATTTACGTGCTGTGGAAAGGTGGTGCAAAGGCGTTGAGTTAAATATAAATCCAAGCAAGAGCACTTTGGTCGCCTTCACCAGACGCAGAAGCAGGGACAGATTAACGAGCCCAATTCTGTTTGGTGAACGTATTAGTTACTCGAGGGAGGTGAAGTATCTGGGGGTAACCCTGGATGATCGTCTCTCTTGGAATACCCATATCGATAGAGTTATCGGGAGAGCTACGGCGGCCTTGTGGACGTGTAGGAGCTTCATCGGGGGGACCTGGGGAATTAGTCCCAGAATAGCACTGTGGCTATATACGGCCCTTGCTAGGCCCATTGTCACCTATGCGTCGATTGTATGGTGCCGTAAGGCTCAGCAGGCGGGTGTGCGGGCCAAGCTGGAAAAGCTACAGAGGCTGGCCTGCCTGGGAGTGACCGGGGCGATGCGGACGGCTCCCACCGCTGCATTGGAGGTGATGATCGGATTGCCGCCACTGCACCTCCATATATTGAGGGAAGCTCGGCTGG